CGACTCTCACCAGACCATTTCCAAACGTTCAAGCGAATTGCCTCCTGATTGGGCACAAAAAATGCTTTGTATTATAGTACCCAGTCGTCAAACAGCATCCCCTGAGTTCTTTTGGTGTGATCGCACACGACGGCTACAAGGGACTTTAAGATCCGAGGACGCGACGGCAGTGAAAATGGACTTAAAAAATAAATTTGCGTTCTTTCAGTCTTTATCGCAATTATTTCCTTCTTTCAGTCTTTATCGCAATTATTTCTACACACTTACTTAGTCAAATGTAGGCGAACCCTCCCGGAATTGAATTCCTAAGAACCATGTCCAAGTACAGAAAGAGAAACAAAATTTCGTCGTTCACCATAAAACGTTAATTTAGGCATTTTAACGAGTTAGTCGTGAAAAAATTGCCAAGAAATTTACAAATAAGTATCATGCCATGTGATGAGTGATGAGACGGTGGACCAATTTGTGTTGAAGCCTCGACAGCGGGCGGTGAGCTGTGATTTCGGGGTCCTGGAAGATGATTACATTCGGGATCAAGTTATTGATAAGTGTTACTCAGTCATTTACGGGCAAAGGTGTTGTTTTTGCTTGTTAAACCCATTGTTTGTTTGTTTGTTTTTTTTTTTTTTACTTCTCGCTGCCGTCGCGTCATCGGATCTCAAAGTCCCTATTGTCTCCCAATACTTGTCCTGTTCGTTCACCAAGGTTGTGCGTGCAAGGGAAAGTTTCATCTTCTACTTTCCTAACCAGAAAAGAAGGAACTATCGATGAGTCGGAAAAACATTTCGGATGCTATCAGCTGGAACATTTCAATTTGCACCGAGAAAGTTCTGTTTCTGACCGATCACTAGGGATCGTAAATAGTATTTACGAAGGCGTGATCGATGGAAGCTTAAATACGTGTTTAGGCTCAAGCTTGTTTTTTTTTTTTTTTTTGAAAAAGCGTCTTTAAAATACCTTCTCACACGTTTCCATGTTTTACTTTTCGGATAGACAGTCAGTATTTTGAAATGGACTGGGTTTATATCAAACTGAAAACGTTCGGACGGTTTTCAATCAGTTAAAATTCAAAGATGCCGGAAGTCAGAGATGGCACGGTGAACGCCAGCAACGACGTAAGATGTAGCGGTGTTGGTGCGGTGATGCTCCCTGTGGGTGTTGATTCGTGGGTGTTGACGTTGAGAGCTCTTCTGTTACACGCTGCGGGAGTCGATGTGCAAGAAATCTATTTTACCTTGGCCAGTGAAGAAGAGAGTTCTTCTTTCACCAAGACAGTGAAGGTGCTTGATGACAAGAGTTGCCCAGTACGTGTCCAAGCTTGCAGGAAGTGTGGGAAAATAGGACATTTTCAGATTAAATGTACATAAGGTAACCAAAACGGAGGAAAGAAGTTCGACAAGGGAAAGAGTGGCAGCGACAGAGGAAGTAATTGGAGCGGACGAGATGTGAGCAATGAGGCAGATTCTGCGCGAAGTGAGACGTTTTCAGCCAGACAGAGTCCTGACTTCGCATTTGCAATTGGCCAAACCAGCAGTAATCTGAACTCAGATAATGAAGTGGTTACTCTCAATGTAGTGGGGGTAGACGTGCCTAATGTACTGATTGACTCTGTAGCTACGTGTAAACCTGATGGGCTAGCAAGCCTGGAATTGGTTGAGAGCTAATGAAATCAAGTGCGAATCACTGAACCATTGCGGACTCTGGGAACGTTTACTGCGACAGTTGTATCGACCAGCAGCAATGCTGAATGTCAAGCTGATTTTGTGGTTATCAAGGGTGACGGGCACACTCTGCCTTGACGAGGGAATGCGGAGACACTCGGTTTATTGCACGTTGGTCCGCCACAGGCGAACAGTGTCCTGTGTGAGCACTCTGAGGACGGTATTCGTCGAAGGTATCGAGATTTGTTTATTGGGACTTTCTCGGTCTTCTCAAAGGTTATGAGCTTAAACTCGATATAGATGATTCCGTGAAGCCTGTTGCTCAGCCGGTACATAGGGTACTGTTTGGTCTGCGCAAGAAAGTGGAGAAAAAACTGGACGAGGTGCTACAAGCAGATATTTTTGAAGAGGTGCCGGAAGGTCCGACTGGCTAGATTTCTCCCTCAGTGGTTGTGCCGAAGAATGATGGTGACGTCAGGGTTTGCGTGGATATACTTCGTGCAAACGAAGCGATTTTCAGAGAGAGACATCCTGTTCCAACTGTAGAGGAACTTTTGCACTCTTTAAATGGATGTACGGCTGTTAGCAAGGTTGCTTGGAAGTAGTGTTTCCACCAAATTTTCCTTAGTGAGGACAGCCGACATATTACGATGTTTGTGACTCATCTGGGCCTGTACCGGTAGAAGCGGCGCATGTTTGGCGTGACGTCTGCTTCAGAGAAGTACCAACAAATTTTTAGAGATGTGCTAAGGGGGTGGCGATTATAGCTGATGACTTGATTATCCTTTTTTGCGTTGTTGAACAGGCTCAGACGGGTCGTGTTGACGCTTAATGGTGGCAAGTTTGAATTCCGCCCATCAAAGCTTATCTTTTTTGGGTACGAACTGACTAGCGATGATATCAACCCAAGCAAGGAAAAGATTGCAGCTGTCCGAGACGTGAGAGCTCCAAAGGACGTCAGTGAGGTGAGGTCATTTATGGGTCTAGTGCAATACTCTGCGAAGTTTATGCTGGATATAGCGTTGGTAGCGAGACCTATACAGGTACTGACGAGGAAAGGTGTTAAGTTTGTGTGGGGGCGGAACAGCAAACTGCTTTTGAGAGGCTAAAGCAAATGATCACGCAGGTGGACACGTTGACGTACTATAAAGTTGGTTGCAGGACGAGAATTATCGCAGATGCTTCACCAGTAGGTCTTGGTGTAGTACTCGCATAGTTACGAGGAGACGTGTGGAGGGTCGTCGTGTATGCGTAGCGAAGCTTATCAGATGTTGAGAAGTGGTACAGCCAAACAGAAAAGAGCCCTTGGCACTAGTGTCGGCGTGCGAGCGGTACAACCTCTATGTATTTGGGCGGCGCTTTGAGTTGGAAACCGACCATAAGCCCCTGGAACGCATTTATTCAGCTACTTCAAAGCGTATAGAAAGATGGGTTGTGTGCCTGCAGTTGTACGACTACCGTCCGCGAAACGCGAATTTCGACGCGATGCAGTGTCAACGTTGAATTCCGACAAGATCCTGGACGTTGGTGAAGAATTTGACTATGTCAGAGCAGATGTCGTGAACAGAGTGGCAGTTGCGCTTACAGCTAAAGAGATCGAGCAAGTTTCTTACGATGATGAGGAACTGAGCGTGGTGAAAATCTGCGTGAGGTCTGGGAAGTGGAGCCAGTGCAAGGCTGCTGTTTCTTATGTGCATGTCAAGAACGAGCTATGCCTGTATGGATAACCCCTGCTTCGTGGTACGAGTATAGTCATTCCCTGGCCTGCGCGACCGAGTTCTCAAGATTGCTGATGAGGGTCTTCAGGGTATTGTCAAGACGAAGGCTAGGTTGCCAAGCAAAGTCTCTTGGTCAAACATGGATGACGACGTGGAGAGACTATGTAAAGCTTGTCATTAATGCCAGGTGGTGGGAGAGTTTGGGCCCTCAGAGCCAATGTCTCGTGTTTTATCTCCTACTGCTCCTTGGCAAGATCGTTGCGCGTATCTACGGATCGTGCAGAGTTTTCCAAAAAGGTCTGAGACTAAGGCACCTCTATGGTCATTAAGCGAGAGGTGTTTATCGATTACCACATTCAGGACTTTAACCGCATCTACTGGCAATGCGTCTTTCGTAAAGGGGTACCATGTCCAGGAGTGTCTAAGCAATGTTGACGTCGGTGAAGTAGAGAGCACTCAGTGTGCGGACGCAGAGGACATCGTAGACAAGGAAAATGAACGAGCGGAGGTTTGCAGCAAAGAAGTAGAGGGTCATCACCAACAGCAGAATCTTCGCAGGTCTACGCTTCGAGTTCGAATACCTGCACGGTGTAAAGACTTTGTTATGCGACTTTAGGCGCTAAGTGATTAATTAGCTTCTTTTTCAAGTGTTACCTCATTAAAGAGTTTAAGGGTTGGCGCTAGAGTTCTGTAGATGTTTGCGCGCTAGTTCTTTATGTTGAAGTTTCCTTACTTTAAGATTTTGTTAAGTTTTTCTGTAGAAAAGTAAGAATGTAGTGTCGTGTAAATCTTTGTCAAGGGAATTAGCTCCTTAGAATGCGTTTTGTAACAGGTTGTAGGAGTTATGAATATTTAAAGTAATTGTGTGCTCGTGACCAGCATACCCAGGTACTTAACGAAGCTGTGGGAACGGGTTTTTTTGGCTCTGTTATCATTTAAACATGGGTAACATTTTTTTTGTTTTTTTAACAAAAGGTTTTTTCTATTATTATTGTTATAGATTTTTTACAACATTTGCAAAAAAATAAAATAAAATGAAGAAAAAATGGAGAAAAACATAAAAAACAAAACAGAAACAAACAAATAATAACGGAAAGGAGACGAAGCATTAATGTTTCTACTATCACTACATCATTGTATCATTACTACGCTGAACAAAAACACCACGCACAACACACCTACAACGCTATACACTAACTCTAAATACTAAACACTAGGCAAGTGCCACCTGAAGAAACAAATAAGAAAAAGCTACCTTGGTGGAAGTTGTTGGCGTGGTGATAGCTAAAGTTCCATCAACGACAGGAGAGGTTCCCATTTTTTATTGTAGAAGTGGGAAAAAAGCATAATGTCAACAAATTCGAATGTCTCATTTTATTTACCGACAGAGCAAAAAGTACTTTTTATGACATATAATGTCTTGTTATAAATTAATAGGATTTTTTTGTGTGCAAAACAAATTGGCTTCATTCTCACCTCCCAATCACAGTTGTACCTCAGAACCCCACTGGTCATACTGCGAGAGGCTTAGGAAGTAAAAACAGCTGAAATCATATTGAGGATGAATCGTCTATTATTAATTTTTCAACTTGACTAATTGACGTATCCATTTTTTTTGTAGTCAGGGGGTATTGCTGGTACTGCAGTTGATGTTATATTGTTTCCACTCGACACTTTGAAGACAAGACTTCAGTCAGCACGTGGCCTTGTCAAATCAGGTGGATTCAGGGGCATTTATGCTGGTTTGTTCTCTGCCGCCAGCGGCTCTGCTCCTTCAGGTTTCAATCTCTTTGTACATGAATGTGATGCTGATTCAAATTTGCTTCGTGCTTTATCGACAGCCCCTTCTAATTACAACATTTTTTTTCCTTTTTAGCTGCTACATTTTTTTGTTCTTATGAACTGACAAAAAATGTTCTCAAACCACATGTGTCTTCCTCAATGTTTCCATTTGTTCACATGTGCGCAGCAACAATTGGTGAAGTGGTGAGTGTTAAATATTATTTGGGGAAATGTTTCTTCTTTTTGTGGTCTTAATGTATCTCAAAATGTAAATATTGATTTAAAAATGTACATGAATTAAATGTTGAATGGTCTTCTCCTTCTGTTTCATACTCTAACCATTTATAAAATAACTAAGATAGTACGCGCTCTCTGATTGGCTGCTAGGCGTGTTTGCATGAGAGTATGTAAACGTGGTTGTGAGGTCAAGATCTTTTGCTGTACTGGCGCTAATCACGCAAGCACGAATTTGAAAAAGTTACTTTATTTACCAATTTCGTCACCCGCTGAAACTTGGAAATCTTTACAAACAGGCTGTGCCTTTTTGCTTAAGCTGACATTTTAAGTGAGAAAAATCCGTAATTTGGAAAGTATCTTTTTTGCAAAACAAGACTTCGTGTACAAGACTTCGCGACTGGTGAGAATTTCTCTTTTAATCAGTACCGTAACAAAGAGTTTTGCGTTATTTCTTGGGAAAGTTAATTTATAAAAGCAATAGAATACTTGTTTTCCTGTATTTGCACAGCCTGATATAAACACGAGAGGGGTTGGGAGAATTCTCGACAGTTATTGGTCTCGGGTTTGCATAACTGTCTCGAATCGTCCCAACCCCTCTTGTGTTTATATCAGGCCATGCAAACACGGAAAACGTTTTCTGTTGCTTAAGTTGTTACCTCAGTCAAAGACTGTCCAAAGTAACTGTAAATTGTTGTAAATGTTTATTACTCTTGGTAGGTGAGAAAAAGTCCTTGGAGAATTGTATTTTTAAAGTTCTGTCAGTTACTTTTTTAATAATATTATATTAATCGTTAACTTTGGTCTTAAATGCAAGTCTGTAGATTGGCAGTTATCACTGGCCGTCATTGTTTATGACTTATCTGCTAATTAAATTAAAGGTGGCACTTTTTGTAAGGAACCCATTTGAAGTGGTAAAACAGCGTGCACAGGCATACACCCACCTAAGCAGCACACAAGCACTGAGATATACACTTGCTGAAGAGGTATGTCAGTTCTAAAAAAGGTTTACATTAATTTTGATGTTTTTAATATTATCATGCTTACACCTTTTGCTGTTCATTACGAGAAAATAGGCAATCATTTGCGTAAAACCGCGACCAATAGCGCGAAGATACATTCATTAGCGCGAAAAAGCGAACATTTGCGCATAAATCAGATTCAATAACGATTTTTGCGTTTTAATCAACATTCAATAACACTTTTGGGCATTCATATGGGTCATTGGGCATACAAAAGAGAAAAATATACTTTCATTAACGCCAACATCAAAGTCATTAACACCACCTTGAAAGTCAATAGGGACAACTGACATACATTAAAGTGCAAGCACTATTCATTAACATTTTTATGACACTATTTACAATTCAATAGCATTCCTGGACAACCTTAGGATGGATAAGACAAACATTAATGCGCTTGTACAATCAATTGAGTGTTCTTTACATTTAATATGCAAAAAACGATTTTCAATTAAACAATAGAAATTCCCCCCAAAATTGGCCTGAATTTGTTTAAAGAATCACGCCAGATTTGGCCATTCCCTCCCCACATACACAGCTTATGCATTCCCCCTCGATATCGTTGAAAAGGATTTAAGTTGTCTGAAAGCGACACCAAAGGCCGACATCTCGAGTCCGGAAATTTAAAGATGTATAACAGGAATGAGGGCAAAGTCCTAGCAATCCCGCTAGCGGAGTTCGGAAACAACAATTGCAGTGCTTGAAGCTCTGCGCAGAAACATGACATTTTGACCGCAGCTAAATGTGCGAAGGGGTACCATTTCACACAAACCTACCTCCCAAAATGTTTGAATAGCGAGGTTTTTGAGGGATATACATTTAACGGAGTGAATTCGGGCCAATTTTGGGGGGAATTTCTATTGTTTAATTGAAAATCGTTTTTTGCATATTAAATGTAAAGAACACTCAATTGATTGTACAAGCGCATTAATGTTTGTCTTATCCATCCTAAGGTTGTCCAGGAATGCTATTGAATTGTAAATAGTGTCATAAAAATGTTAATGAAAAGTGTTTGCACTTTAATGTATGTCAGTTGTCTCTATTGACTTTCAAGGTGGTGTTAATGACTTTGATGTTGGCGTTAATGAAAGTATATTTTTCTCTTTTGTACGCCCAATGACCCATATGAATGCCCAAAAGTGTTATTGAATGTTGATTAAAACGCAAAAATCGTTATTGAATCTGATTTATGCGCAAATGTTCGCTTTTTCGCGCTAATGAATGTATCTTCGCGCTATTGGTCGCGGTTTTACGCAAATGATTGCGTATTTTCTCGTAATGAACAGCAAAAGGTGTATTATTATGATTATGATTATTATTATTACTAGTAATAACCAAAGGTTACAGAGTGCGCGAGACAACGATCGAAGGTCAAAACGCTTTTGCTCCAGCGCTGTGCTTTGCGTACTTTTCACGTGACAGATGGTCAAAACACGCGTGATCAGATTGCGAGTGATGAAATGTCCAAACGCGCGTGATCACTAAAGTGCGTTCTGTGCATTCCATACATTCTTAGTGGAAGTCCATGTGACGCAAGAGCAATAACAACCTGGAGATTAGGATTGCGGGCTCCTCTGGTCGCCCGCAATTATTATTATTATTATTATTAGTAGTAGTAGTAGTAGTAGTAGTAGTAGTAGTAGTATTAGTGTTATTATAATCATTATTCTTACTATTATTAGTGCTGTTTATTGCTTCTTGTGCTCTCATAGAACCGGGCCCATTCGTTGGTCGTTCCTGAGGTGCTAGACGGGTATTTCGTTCGATGGACAGAAATCTTCTTATTATACATGCCGTTCCCAAGAGGATGATCTTTTGCATTTCATTGCTCTTAATAGCTCAAGGGATCTTTCCTAAATTCTGGTCCATTTCGTTTTTTTAAAAATGAGTCCGAGGGTGCTGGATCTCAAGGTTTTTGTATGGTTCTGACACATCTATGAGATTGGTTGGCATGGTCCTTGATCACTTTGTCGGGTTTGTTCGCTGAGAGCTCAAATCTGTATGTATCTGCATACCCCAAAGGATTGTGGCTTCTCCATTTCCTGTGAGCGTCTCAGGCTTGTGTTCATACCACTTCTCTTGTACTTTGATTTTGTAATGCTGACACGCTTTCCAATGGATATATGCAGTTGCCTTATTGGGCCTCTCTAGGTAGTCTGTTTTTGCAAGTTCGGGACATTCAGATATTACATGCTATAACGTTTTGCTTGTTACATATCTTGCATGGTGGACTGGTGTCATATTTCACACTTATTGTGACGTAAGACTTGGTAGGGAGGCTCTGGGCCTGGGTTGCTATTATTAGACCCTCTGTCTCAGCTTTAAGTCCTGTACTTTTGAGCCACTGGTTAGTTTTGTCATCATCAACATCCGCTTCTCATATTCTTTTGGGGTATCTTCCGTGTAATTCCTTTTCCCACTGCTTCATTTCTATCTCTTCGGTCTGCTTTGATCTTTGCTTCACTCTCCCCGCAAATATAGTAACTGGTTCATTTCCGGCCTGTAAAGACATGGTGTGTCAAATTCTCTTCTGAATCTGTTTCGTTTCGAAGTGCTATTGGAGCAGAGCAGCATCAGTGTTCGTTGTTTCTCAAGTACGTTTCCAGCAGGAAAGTTCATGCCCCCACCATACAAACGCCCGTAAAATCCCATTGGTGTTTACCACACGGGCCTTTACAGAAGAAATACAGATGAACAATACTGTTGCTATGACATGTATAATTTGCTACAAAATGCAGATTTTAACGCAACTGTTTAGATAAAAGTTTGCAGAAAAAGTTACTAAGTCAGGTGTCATGTTTTTTTCGCCGTCTCGCGCTATTTTGTGAGATGAATATTTGACCTCGGCGGTTAGAACTAAAGAAGGAGACAAGGCAGGCAGCAATCAGCAGCTGGCGCATGAGCAAGTCCACTTTTAGATGGAACTGGAGCCAAAATATTTAATTTCTTTTCTCAAGAATACCGGTTGCCATGCCATGCCTGCGCCGAGTGAGAGCTCGATCCTTCCAAAATCTCTCGAGAAAAACGATCCTGAAGTTGCAAGACCAGCAAGTTCTCAACATGATCGATGCAAAATTCTCGACCAAAAGCATTTGAGGTATGCGCGTCGATCCAATCCACCAATCAGCGCATCGCGACCGTTGTCAGTTCAAAACTCCAACCCTGCCCTGCCCATTTAAATATCCTCTTGATTCAAACAATGAGTACAGTGATGCAGCTGTTTAAGGGGTTCATATTTTAGTGTGTGTTCTGCTTCGAGACATTTGTGACGTAATTCGGGTATCGCGAACGGTACACGCACGTATTTCATAATTTATGAGGGCCATTTCACCTGCTTCAATTTACAGTATAAAAGATCATATATTTTCAAAGTTCTTGAAATGAAATGTTAATAATTGGTGTTTAGATATGGACTTTAATTCGGAAGTATGCGGCCTATAAATTATATGGTGGTTTTAGAACTTTGAAAGGCAGCTTATTATTATTATTACTATTTTTTTTATTTTTGTACCGAGTAAGTTAGTTCTGTTAACAAGCTTTGTTATCTCGCTTACAAAGTTCAACAGACCTTTTTCGTTCCGGCAAACATGAAATTAAGTAAACAACATGATACACGCTTGCTGCTTAAGAGTCCTTGTAGTTATTGAAACGTATTTTTATTTACTTAGGGGCTTAAATAAAGATGTGTAACTTAAGTAGAAACAATAGCGTTAGCGAATAAAATTGCAAGAAGCTAGTTGACAAAATAATTAGATATTGTTTTATTGAGTGGAATAACATTAGATAACATGAGATGAGTAGAAATATATTTCGACAGTTAGGCTATCAACCTTAACGTTGCATGAAGCATAATTTAATTGCAGATGTTGCAAAGCCGAGGTGATTTCTTAAAATCGTTTGAGCAAATTTTCCAGTAAAAACTTTGTGTTCTTTTACGTACGAATCGTAAAAGGGACAAAGTCCAACACTTTCACGTGTAAACTGAGTAACTGTACTTCTCGTGCAGACTGGCTTTTTATAGCAACAAGACGCTACGGAGCGTACACTTCGGCGTCGTGGTGTGGAACTGATTAAGTGTAAACGCGGAGGAATAATAAGAAATGAAATATGGTAAGAGTAAGGTGTTAATTTGTGAAATTATGGGATAATGATAGGCTCTCACTTGTAAACACAAAATTTCTGACAAAATATTAGCGAATTTTAGCCCTTAGTTTACTGCCTCACAATATATCAATAATCTTCAAACTAAGAGGTCATATAAAGGGATAGTTAATCTCAAGATTTTTAAATTTTTTAAAAAATCTATTGAGTGGTTTAGAAAATTTTCGCTCATTTGTTAAAGTAGACCGAAATGTTTACATGACCGCTAACAAGAGCGCCCCGATACATACTAATCAAATTCTTCTTTCTAGCAATCGGCTAGAGGTATCTCCATGATCATAGGTTTACGGGCCGGGGGCGAGGGGGGCTGCAGCCCCCCCAAAGTTTGGGCAACTCAGATTTTGTGGGCAGCAAGAGAAAATTTGGGCAGAGCCAGTTTTTAAAGACGTTTCCATGTTTTTTATTATTATTATTATTTTGAAGAGATAAATATTTTCTATTTTAACCACTGAGAAGTCGGCGTAATAATTCAGTTACGTTCACACGAGACGGTGGTTGCCTAGCACGTGATGAGTTTCTGGTTATAAGGAAAGGGTATCATATGCTGATTTTTTTTTGTTGGGCACTGTACTTCACTGTACTAGCTGGAGTGGGCTATTTCCAGTCATGAATTGATTAGAATAAACTTCCGCATAACTTTCTAGAATCACCTCCGCTCCTAGAACAGTGTGTGGCAGAACACGCATCAGCAATGGGTCTGAAAGTGAAGTGGCTGACAAATTGTCAGTTTGAATTACGAGAAGAATCATAGTTTTCTTTAAAAAAATCTATCGAGGGGTTTAAAAATTATTCACTAATTTGCTTAAGTGGACCGAAATGTTTACGAAATACCTAACAAGATCGAGCGCTAATCAAATCCTTCCTTACACAAATTGGCAGGAGCTATCTCCATGATCTTTCATACACGTTTTTAATAAGATTGAAACTACTGTGAGGTGAAATTGCATGTCAAAAACGCTCCGTTTTCTTCAGATTACGACTTAAAATCAAGATTTTCCTTTTTTTACCTTATTTCTAACAATAAAAACTTCATCCCAAAATATCTCGATAACGCTCTTACAGTTCCGTTTTAACTTCACGAACATCGAGGCGACTATTATCTGCGGTGGCAATTTTTTCCAAATGCTTGTTTGTGGCGACGTAGTTTATGCTCAAACTTGGCAGGTATTGACCCTGAAAAACTGTATCGAGCCACTTTCATATGCCAGTACGGCCTATTTTGTTGCATGGCCCTAGTTTCCTTTCGACTGTTTTGTAAAAATTTGGGCAACTTGGAAGAATCTTTTGGGCAAATGGATTACGCCCCCCCCCCCCGGCAAAAAATTGCCCGTACGCCTATGTCCATGATCTTTCACACACGTTTTTAAGAGGATTGAAAGTACTATCAGGTGAAATTGCATGTCAAAAGCGCTTCTTTAAGTACAGATAACCGTCAAACATCAAGATGGTCCATTTTTTTTACCGTATTTCTAACCATAAAAGCTTCTTTCCAAAATATCTCGATAACGCTCTTACAGATTTCGCTTAAACCTCACGAACATCGAGGCGGCTATTGGAGGAAAAAGCTCCAGTAAACGATTTTGAAAGAACAGTTCCCAGTGCCGAGAAATATTGCTGCAAGTAAAATAGGTAATGGCGTCATTTCGTTGCTATGACAACTCCGATGTCATTGCAACCTTGATCATAACAACTTTTCATCTTTATCTAGTACAACTGTGGTGTTAATTTTTCCAAATCTTTGTTTATGGCGACTTAGTTTACGCTCAAACTTGAGAGGTATTAACCCGGAAAAACTGTATCGAGCCACCTTACGTAAAACTAAACAGCCTCTGCCAATAATAACAGACTCTCACGTGAACTTCAGATATCTTACGGCTTCCGCCAACTTGTAAACAGAGAACTTGAAAATCGAACTCCGTCATACCTGACTAAACACAGCACTCCAGCTCTTGGGAAAAAACTTAGTCAAAAGAACTCGCTTGGAACTTGTATACCGTTTGACACAAGTTTCTAGAAAATACTAAACAGGCGAATAGTAGTAGCTTTTCGACATATTTTATGATTTCAGTAAGTGATACAAATCTGCTGACTCATTCTGAAATATAATCATGCCGTAATTAATTATTCAGGAATAATCCAAAAACGTAGAAAACGTTCGAGAAAGTCACGCAACGCATGAAAACAATTTTACTACGTAACACTCAACAAAGACAAAACGTGTTTGTGCAGCATTTTGTAAATTCATCATAAGACAGTGCGATAGGAGCGCTCACTTGTGAGGAAATGAAGCTTGATTCAGATGTCCTTGAATAAACATTCGCTTAACTTGGTCTTGTTTCGATCTTAAGGAATCAGTCGCTCGCGCGAATAAACCATGCCGTGTTGTGTTATGTCAATGTAAAATTATCGAGAAATCAGTCTGTCAGGGGTGAATCTGTTGTTTTCTGCCTCGCGAGACTCGTTCCTCGACTCGATTCTCGATAACTTGTTCTCTATTCGCGCAGGAATCGAGACTCGCACCGACTGTCAACTTACTTTTGGACGGTACTGTAATATTAACCTTACCCAGCATTAAAGAAGGACAATGAGAAAGCCAAGCCTACTGGTTTGAGGGTTGTCCAATACTCACCACTTATTTTACTACATAGATAGATGGATGGATGGATGGATAGATGGATGGACGGACGGACGGACGGAAGGACGGATAGTTTATTTGTAGAAAGCTTGCAGCTACTAAGCTGAATTGTATATTTACAATATAATATAATATAACAGAATCTTACAATAGTGAGTATAATAAAATGATAATGATAAAGTCCTAAATAAATATTAACATCCTATAAATATAAAAAAGCTTAAAACTGTTAAAATATATACAACGTCATCAATCTCATTTACAAAACTCACCGAGCGCTAAAATTCGTTATCAATACATGATCTTACTAAAAAGCTATTTTTGAAACGCTCGGTCTTACATTTGGGAATCGCAAAACGCCTTTTGCACCGAAGATTATAACACGACGGCCCTGACGATTGAAGCATGTTATGTAAGCGATGGGCCGGGTCATTAGCAATCGAGAGGAAGGTCTTTTTATTTAAGCTAGCGATGTAGTCATTGATAGACATAATATTTGAAAGCTGTAAGGCCTTTCTATAGGCCAGTCCCGGGCAAATGATTGGTAGTGCCCATTTCTCTACATTCTCTAGATCTTTCTTTAAATACAATGGCAGAGCGTAGAAAAACGCAGGCGATACGTAGGTCATGACTGACCTTATGCAAGATGTTTAAAAAAGAATTAATTCATGCCTTGCGACATTGGCCCTTTTCAATTGTATTAGGAAATACATACGTTTAGAAGCTTTCTTTATGATTTGATCAATGTGCATATTCCATGTAAGGTTGTTTGAGATCGTAACACCTGGTAATTTGGTGCTTTCAACACATTCTAGCTCTTGATTATTTACTACTATAGGCACGAGTTGTGGTTTGTTCTTTGCAAATGAAATCCTAAGCTCTTTACATTTTTCACTGTTTAGTTTTACTCTATTCTCAAAAGACCACTGCACGGTAGTATCCGCAATCAATTGGGAGTTGCTACTGGTTCCTTTCACAACGACCTCGGATGTAGTTGTATCATCAACATACTTCCAGATATTGCCTGCATTATTGATTTCTAGATCGCTGACGAGCACCAAAAACAACTACGGGCCTAGTTTCGTCCCCTGGGGTACCCCGGATGGGACTGATCCCCACTCGGAGTAACATCCCTCTGAGAGTTTGATTCTCTTGGAACGATCTAATTTGCATAACTTATTAATAAGAATCCTATGATTATACTTATTAACAAGAATCCTATGGTTGTACTACTCGTACAATTGGTATGTATTACTTGAATCCCACTTTCACGACTGGAACAAGTGGTGATTATGGACATGGAGCCGGTACCCGAGAACTTAGATATTTGTTTAGAAAGTCTTGTGATTGCACCAGGGTGGTACCTCAAATTCATTTTCTCTGATAGTTCTGCTATGATGTGATCACAAGGTTAACTGGAAAGAGCTACTTGTAAAAATAATCAGTCATTTAATCACCTTGTTTTGTTATTGTGTAACGTAAATGATGATATTCACTTATTGTTTTGTGTTGTAGGGTTTCTATGGCTTATACAGGGGTTACTGGAATACTTTAATAAGAGAGGTATTAATACTATTAAAGCTAGGTACTAATGCTATTAAAAACTAGCATTAAAGTTAATTAATAAATAACGGTACTAACTTAACATCATCAATAATAATTATTGAATGTGGATGGGTATGACGTGAAGAATAATGCAGGTCAAGGAGTGTAGATCTGCATGTATAATTCCTTCACTCTATATCATACAAAAGCCGAACTCATTAATTATTATTTATCAAAATATCCAAAATGTTCTTAACAAGCCTACCACCATGTAGACATTTCTTAAAACTATGGCCTTTTTCTCGGATGTTTTTTCTTGCAGATACTCCTCAATAAGTAAGTAACATCAGTCGAACAATATTATGTTTTGGTATTCTTGCATTTACTTTGTTTTAGTCAGAAATTCAGCTATGTCGTCTTCGGAAAGATGTAAACGCAATTTTTTTAGTTCACTTTAGCACAAGAAGCCTCGTTTCCAGCCAAATGTACCCTCAATCAACCTAGTTTCGAAACAGATATACCTTTGAATCGATGGTTTATCGTTCACTTCTTTCAAATTTGGTCAATGTAAGCTGGTTGTAAGAATTAACCAGGGGAGTTGAGCCAGTCAGAAAGGGCCAAATATTTTGAATGAATAGTAATGAGATTTAATATGCAACCTATATTTTATGGCTGTTTCCTGCTACAATTTTCCTGTTATCTATTTAGTGTTATGTTTCAAACCTCAAAACATGTTTTTTTTATTGTTTTAGATACCATTTGCATTGATTCAATATCCATTGTGGGAATTGTTTAAGGTGAGAGATTGCAAATTGAGTCCGTAATCAAACTCAGCAAACAAACCTTAGACAAAACGCCTTGGTAATCAGCAAGCGTGTTCTACAATATCCCATGATTCAAATCAAGCTCACGATGTCTAGACTATCAGTGGACTACAACCTCCGGTAGAAATATCTCAATACAAATTACCCCCCTTCCTTTCTTCAGAAATGAACTATTTGGTGAAGAAAAATGTCAATAAGAAATATTTAACTGAAAATGTTGTTCTCTCTGGTTATTTGTACCGTTTAACTAAAGAATTGTTCCGCTTGTATTCAACGCCCTTTCTCGACCCAACACCCACCTCACTGCCTGCCTTAGTCTGCACTGTGTATGGCTCACTCTCCAAATTTGCTTCAAAATACGTGTAAGACTTCAAGCTTTCCAGACGGTTTTGTGTTCTTCAATAAAACCGGGTCTCCAGGCATCACAGGATTTTCTGCTGCAACCCGCCTGTTGGAGCCACAATGCACGAGGCATATGCTGACAATCACGATGTCTTACTCCCACATCAAACAAATTTTCACCTCGTCTCAGTTCTGAACGGTTAGTCTTCAGTTTCCAAACATTAGAATTGCTGGGGTTGCTCCTGTGCTACGATGAGGAGTGATTCTATAAGCCAACAGGAACTTATAAAATCTTTTTTCCCCGTGAAGTGATTAGGACGGACACCAGACTGTGCTTTGTAGATCAGGTGGCTTCTTGTAAGTTTGCAAGGGGAGGCTTTGCAACGTGGTGTTTGATAATGTTGGAGAGAACTGGAAGGATCAAGACTGGGGGTATAGTCATTTGGATTATCACATGGTCCACCCTGTATCGGAGTATCGGATGTAATCTTCAAGCTTGTTGGAAAGGCACTTTTTGCTATCAAAAGGTCAATCATGTTGTGGAAAAGGTTGCAAAGCTGTGAGAAACATTCTTTAAGGATGCGTGGGCAAAGTCCATTATGGCCGGTAGCTAGCATTCGATTCAGATTTTGGCGGAATACCATAAAATTTGCCGGTTATAATCGTGTTGAATTGTAGATAGATATATATTCTAGCAGATATCCTTCGTGAACCAGTTGTCATCCCGCATTGAATGGCATCTTTGCATATTCTTGTCATGTTTCTGGGGCAGTAGTTCAGTTGATTCAACGTCACTGCGCGTTTGTACGTCCCTTTTTCAATCCAATTATAACATTACGACTTATGTCAATTATAATGCTAACAAAATTTGGTCAATGCTAGCTGGTTGTAAAGAAATAGCTGGCTGATTTAAGCCAATGATAGAGGGGGAAATATTTTGAGTAAATAATAGTATGCAATATTGAAAGGCCTAAGAAGAATCCTGAAGACAATAGAAGAATACTAAGCGCCCACGCCCCCTATTTACTTTGTACCAGGTTAGAGCTAAGCGAATTATAAACTACATTCGAAAGTGAGGACCTCGCTACCATTCTCTAAGCGGTCAGCACTTGTTACCAACACCATTGCAAAACCTCGTTTGAAATGTGACTTTTAAACATCAAAACCAAGAAGTAGGCATAGCTTTGTGACCGCACTGACCCCTTTTGTGAATCACAGGCTGATTTGTTCCTTGTTTTTAAGTTCCCTTAGTGACCACTAAATTAATACTCGCGAATAAAAGCAAAGTAAGATTGATGCACGGCATAGGCGTTAATAGTTGGGTAACTTTGAATCTGATAAATAATTAGAAAGAATTTTATTGATACATATGCCAAGCGCTTTGTTAAAAGAACTCGTAATCAATCGCCCTGGTTATGCGAGGTCGCTTACGAGAGCCCAAACTTTAAAACTACCACCTCTAAGTACAACCCATGGCTATTTTCGATGTATAATGTTTGTTACATTGTTGTAGCTGAATTGTCAAATTGTGTTTTACTTGTTACCGTTGCGAGAAGACTTTTTCAATCAAGAACTTCATTCATACCTATTGTCCATACGAATCATTATCTCTTTGGTATTAAGGTTTGCTTTAGGCGACAATCACTCAGGACCGAGTTTTGTGTATTTAGAGTGTGTGGTCATGGGAACAAGGCTTTCAAGTATGGCCATGGCAGTCAAGTATTTGTGGTGCAGTTTCAGGTAAACTCTGTTCTTTTTTGTTGACATGTAGCCCATAGGTTGTTAACTTGGCTGACTAAGGCATAATTTCAAAAATAAGCTTAAAAATGTAAATATACCTGAATTTTTGAAAACGTGGTTAGCAAAAAATCAATTCATTCTACTACTTAGCAATTTAAAACAATAAAAGATCATTCAAAAGTCGATTGAAAGCCTTCATCTGACGCCGGGCAGTAAGTTAATGGTCCCCAGAAGCATTCCAAGTAGTCCAAATTTAAATTTTAAATTTATGACGCAAATTGAACATTTATTTAGTAATCTGACTAAATGAAGTTTCAAACCGGTGTCATTTCTGTCTAGATTTTTTTAAGTTGGGTGAAGTATAGCCAAAAAGTGCCTGGTTAAGGTTTACATGACAACTTGAAGAGTTAGCTAAACACTACTTTTTTCGCGGTCAGATAAATGACAGGATTTCGCATGGAATAGACAACAAACTGATCGAAACAAAAAACGAGCCGCTGAAACTAAACCTAGGTCTGATTTTCCTGTGTCGAGAATTTGTTTTCCAAGCCACAATCAGCGACGCTAAACACCGACGAACGTTTTAATTGCTCGCACAGAATATTTTATCCTGTTCCAGGCTCTCAGATAGAACAGAAGACAGGAAAGTTAAAGGTACGCGAAAAGGGGGGCGGGGCGGGAAAAAGCTTCCTCCCGTTTTTTTTTTTTTTTCAGTTTTTTTTTTTTTTCATATTCGAGCTTTCTCAATTCAGCGGACCCGACTATCACGGAGCGTGGAACAGGCTAAGAATATTTTGGTGTAACAGCTCAACCACTCGACCACATACCTGAGTTGTGCCTGTCAACACCATGCGGAACTCACACAATCACACACTTTCGCGGCACTGATAAGACTATTCACAACCACGCATAATCTTCTCACATTTAACACAAGGGAAATATCATCAAATAACTCGGCAAAACTTAGCCTATTTGCACATCAACACCTCTGGACCTTTCTCTTGCACTCGTCTTATTCAAGTTCCCGGAAGTAGCGTCACACGGTCGGCAGACCAGCGTAGACCCTGTTTTCACACCAGAAAGAACGCGAAATCTACAGCCATCTCTACACAAATCCCTAACTACAAAAACAACAACAACAACTAAAAGACATAAGCAAGTAACACAGTAAACATGGTGCTAGATAGGGGAAGTTGAGAGAAATTACAAAATGTTTGCTAACCCGCTTTTCGTAAATCCAGGTAGAAATACACGTACAAGAAATAAAAGTTAAAAATCTAGGAGCTAAAAAAATATCAAGATAAATTTACAGATAATAAAAATGTAAATAGGTGTACTAGAAATAAAGTTAAAAGTCACAGGCTTCTCGCTTGAAGCTGCAACTAGAAGTAAGCTGCCGCTTCCCGAATGGGATATCAGTTGTAGTTTTACACCCACTTGACCTAGTTGAAAAAAAAGGAGAAAAAAGACAGAAGCAATAAAGACGTCCTGGTGAAGTTGGTTTTGTTTGTCTTATTTTTAGGTGGAGTTGCTGCCGCAGTGACAAATCCTTTGGACGTCGCTAAAACTAGAGTCATGCTTGCGCCGGTAAAGAAAAGATTTTTTTAAAATGTTAAATACTATCGTATTTTGCTTTTTCTTACAGAAGTACATAACAGCTTTATCGATACTGATGACCAGTTTATAAAAGTTAATAAAGTATTCTTTTTTATTGACCATTGCTTAATCATTGAAGTCAAATCTTGTCCAAGAAACAACCGTTATTAATGTTTTTTTTTTCTCCTTATTCTTACCGCAGAAGGATTCCCTGTACACTCAGGCCAGTGTAACACGAGTTTTACTGATAATAAAATCTCAAGAAGGCTTCTCAGGGTAAGAGTGAGCATCTGGCTCCCCAGGCGGCGCGATTAACAACTGCTGTTCGGGAAATTAGCCCGCGCTTTTGAGGAAAAAGACCGAACCCGAGAGAGCGGCGGAAACTGATCTAGCCTAATGACCCTCAATTAATTGAATTGCGTTAATTAATTAAGTGAGTTGATAATAAAAGTAGATTGGCCACGGTAAGGAGATAACGAAGCTGACGTTTGCATAGCCTAGGAATAAGCCGGCGGTATCTTGTCCCTGAGGGTTCTTCTCTCGGCTCCATCGCCAAAATAGTTTTAGCACTCACCTACTTATCCCGCCAGCTACGGAGGCTAATGTTTTCAACCGCTGGCCTTTTGTTAGAGCGAAACGATTTTCTCTGAAACGTCAACTTCTCGACAGTCTTCCTGCGGAGGCCAATCTATATTCACTCCCCCACCGACGGAACACCACAGTTTCTTTTGAAACTGTACCCTCATTCATTTGTGATAAGGTAATGCACTGTCTGTTTTGGAATAACCTGTTCCTGGCTGTCGGATAGTAGGGTAGACGCTTAAATGAAAGGCGGCACTTGAAAATATGAGCGCGTGATCTGAGAAAAGGGGGCGGTAGCGGTGGCATCCCGTTTTAATTTCGTGTTCGTTCTTTCTTAATTCCGCGGACCCGACCATCTCGGAGCCTGGAATAGGCTAGTTTTGGAACATATCTAATACGTCAACATTTGCTTACTCCTCCGTCTTGGACTATTTTTAGCCATGGAATTACTTGAGATATTAATGTATTTTATTTTCTCACAGTTTGTTTTCTGGAGTGACCATGAGGACAGCTTGGATTACGATCGGAGGAGCAGTATTTTTTGGTTTCTATGAAAAAGCAAAATATGTCCTTCAAGAGAGACTTGAGATGAACACTGACCATAGAATTTCGGCGTAATTCACTTTTGCAAGTAATTTAATTAGTAATAACAAACTGTGGGCAGTCTATTCCGCGTTTGATCATTCAGTTGCATACTGAACTTTACTGTTAATTATGATGGAATCTTGTAGTTGTTTTGTATATGAAATATATGAGATATGCTCACTGAACTGAGCCATGTAAACTTTTGTTTGCAAAGGATTTCTTGCCAATTAGAGGCGAACGATATAAAGCAACAAGTAATGGTGAGTGGCGATCAATTCGGTCTGTATTCATACGAGTGATTAACAAAATCGGACGACCGCGTCGGGTAGTTGGTAAATTATTATGGTGACGATTGTTGACCTCGTTTTCTAAAGCCTGGCACCTTACGTGTTTTAATTTCTTTCTTAATTTACCGCCTGGTTAACGTCGCAACTTAAAGAAGCTTTTTTTTACGAAATTTATCAATAGACAAACAGTGTGAGTTGCCATCAGATAAAGTGAAACATAAAAATAACCGCTCAAAACATTGAAATAAGGGTATAAGTAACAAAGCAAATACAAAAGAAGTCGCGGATCACAGAGGCAAACTTGGGAAACATTAAGACGGGATTGAGGATTATGAAAACTTTATGCTTTTTGCTATTGATATTTGTAGTGTCCCTTATTAGCAGGCCTTACCTGGCCAGCTAGAAGGTTTATTGACACTTACATAAAGTTCATCATCATCATCATCATCATCATCATTTGTTTGATCATTTGTTTGATGAGAAGCTGTGATTAACAAGAAAATTCGGAATTCCTCGCTAACGCTAAGTTCCTTTTAGCGGACCAAGGCGGGTTATTGACAATATTTGGGCTAAGCAAATTTTATTGCGGTATATCAAGAAGGGCTTACAAGCCTTATACTCCAACTGATGAATTTGCTGTCCATGAGATCTAGCAAACAGACGTTAATCAAACGTCTTAAAGCCTTCTCGTGTGTAGATCAATGCTAAGATAGTCTCGTAGCAGATTCTGTAGCAGGTGGCTTAAAATGAGATAAAAGCATTTGATAACATAGCGGGTCAAACACATGTTTTGCTGCAGGCGCAGCAGTTGCACGGCCGCTAACGGACCAAAAAGCCTTGACGATATCTAAGAGCAAAGACTTTGACAAGGATAAGACGGGTAATTTCAATATTTTAGTCACCAATGTGGAAAGTTTGAGCGCATTGGCTCTTGTTGATTGTCTCCTATTCAATGTTATTATCTTATTTACTCGATTAAGCGCCGCCCTCCAATATTGGGACCGCATTTGAGACACTAAAGTTAATAAGCACCACCCCCGAATAAGCGCCGCGATCCGATATAATCGCAGTCAATAAACCGTGTTAGTCAACCATGGAAAAAAAATAACACCATAGTTAAAACAATTCATTCTCGTGTCCAACTTTTAAATAAACGACGAGTGGAAAGTAAATAAGCACCCGCCTGGCGCTTATTCAAGTATATCAGGACCTAGAACCAAAGGAATTTTGGCGCTATAGAAATTGTAATTGTATTTAATCGGTAATTATTTGTTTATGTCAGTATTACCGATAAACAAAGTATGTACTTGCACGTACTTGCTTGTTGTACGTTGACAGTTATCCACTCAGCATATTTGGGAGTGTGATGTTCAGGATATAATCAGAGCTATTTTGATTATTCTCGTTTGCTTCTAATTAGTATGTTTTAGCTATGTTTTGTTTAATTTGTTTTCTGAATTCAAACTTGTTTCATATACGAAATGGTTCATAACGCTGCTTTTTAAAGCTTTAAAGTTTACATCAATTTATAATGTTAAAAATATTTAATTTACAAGGTCTAATAAGAGCACCACGTGTTTCAAAATTAGTACTTCTCACGATCAATGCAAATTGTTGAAAAGAATAGAGCGTATTCACATGACGTCAGGCGTCCATATTGGTGTTCCAAAACAAGGAAGCGGCGGACATGTTGGTGTACCAATAAAGCCCTGTGGGAATTGAACTCTTTTCTTATCTAAAAACTTTCTTTTATTTCATTAAATTAGCATAGATGCTAGCCACGTGAGTGAAAACGCTCTATACAAATGAAAAGCATCAGTGCCTCTTCCATTATAAAACGCACAGACACAGTCTGAATGTATAATGAAAATTTTGGGGCATTAGCCTGAAATTCATTTGAAAAGTGTTTAAACTTTGCGTAAGTGGTATGTGTTTTTACACTGCAGGTGAAATATAGTTTTTACGCTGAGAATTCCAATTTTCACGCCATTTTCCCTCTGATCCAAAATTCTTTCACTCTGGACGTGAAATTGGTCGGCTGTGAATCTGTAGAAGTCAACAGTTTCACGATAACGAACTGTGCACCGTGAAGTTGATAAGATATTGAGGTTTTTTCCCATCTGCGCCTGAAAAATAAGCCTGTGTACAGACGTCTCCCCTCCCTCAGGAAAAAATCGGGAGAAGAGTCCCTTCTCCCGATCCGGTTTTCCTGATTCCGACTAGCGAAATGGCCATGAAACAGTGACATGAGAGAAATGGAATGGCGACAAACGACACATAAAAGTGGCTTAAAACATCCAAACATACCCGCAAACCCTTACAATAGCAATTGAAAATAGCCTGAAGGGACATTCCTTGGTGGGTAAACGACAGGTTTTGAAAGACTTGGTCTGCCCTCCTATCCCTTTTACGCCACAGAATACTAAGTGCGCTGTAGCTCTCTTTTTTTCAGCACTTTCTAAAGTCTGTGCTCGCTTTTAGCTTCAGGTTGGAATATGTTTCTGATGGAAGTTAAGCAGAACAGTTTATCCGCGACGACGTTTGTTTGAACTGCAGTTTATTCAGGCGCAGTGTTTATTGTTAATGTAATCACTGTTACTTGACAGTCTTGCATCGTTCCTTTATAGTTAATGTTCATTACCACAAATAAATGTCGGAGGGGCTCTAATTATTTTATTACCTTTGCCTCTTATGACCCAGCGTTCAACAAAGTAAGTGTGGTTAATTCAATATAGCACCAAAGTAGTACACGGAAGTGGAAAAACCACTTGGTATCACAAGACATTCAAGATTTCTGTTTAGAATATGTTGCTCTAACGTCGAAAATAAGAAGACACAAATGTTGCATAAGTTCTATTGATTAAAAGAGGTATTTCAGTACAATACATATGTTACATGTAGAATTAATTATCTAAGTGTTAAAAAGTTTCCTCAACGGAATGCCTTAACTCACAAATTGAAATGCTACATTCCCCTTTATGGGCAGCATAAATATATGGGCACATTCTATTGATTTGTTACAGGACTTCTCACTGCTGCCGTCGAAATGGCAGTTTCATTTTTCAGTTATGTCCATTCGAGTGCAAAACCGCGATACCAAATACAGGAAGAAAATTGTCAAGTGACGGCGTGTTCGGCGGACACCTGTCCAATAGTACAGGCGGAGTACCGCAAAATCACATTTTAAAAGCTAATTTAATAGTTGTAACCGTTTATCAGAATAGACACCACGTTCTAACAAGGAAATGACCGCAACGAGAAAAGAAGTATAGAAATTTTAACAAATGTTTATGGCGTGTACGTTTAGCTTGAGGCCATTAAAGCAATAATTTATTTAGCAACACTTGTCTTTATCATGGCACATGGCCTTGTTATGGTGAGAAATAAACGTGATACCCTATTGGTTAAAGCCTTAACTACTATTGTGGATTGAGGAAAAAGGGCCCGGCCTTATTCATTTAAAACTCAGCAGATCGTCACTATAGGCGATTTTTTAAGGCCTTTCGGCATTCCTTTTAGTAGGTTTGCTCGATCAAGTCTGAGAAAAGAAAGAAAAAAAATGAACAGCGCAGAACAGACCGAGCAAAAGGAATACTTCAGCGAAAGACTTTTTGTGTCAAAAGAGGAGGACAGAGGACAGTGTAGCAATAAAAAACAAAAGAAGAAGCAGAAGAGAAGGCGAAATTCGTCTCCGTTATCCTACATAGAGGTCATTGCCTATGCTATCCTCAGATCACCGCAAAAACGTGTCACTTTATCTGAGATCTATAGTTTCATCCAGAACAACTATCCTAGCTTCACCGAGCATCGAATACGCTGGAAAAACACTGTCCGCCACAATTTGTCTCTTCATGAATGCTTTCAGCGAGGAGAGATCGCAATGGACAAAGCCGGATGTTACTGGCACATCCATCCCAGTTTTTTGGAAGCATTTAGCCGCGGAGATTTTTCAAGACGTAAATCGATGCCCAAGAATCCAAATTTGCGACTGAAAGGTTGGAACAGTTTAGTTGAGAACCACATCGCTATCCAGCGTCCCTTCTTGCCGTGCTGTATTCATAAAATAAACCCACCATATCCAGTAGCAGCACTCATGGAACCGCTACAGTATCACCATGGGGGCTTTACTGTAAGTACTGTACCGTGCGCTCCACAAATTGCCTACCTACCCTGGCATCACTGAATGTTAAACGGAATAAATTAGCCAGTTGTTGAACTTATCAGTCTCATCTAGCAAGAAGGAGACCTTACTTAATTCATCAATTTCTTTGTCTTCGAAACAAAGCTTGGCATGTTTTTCGCCGATCCAGCGTTAATATATCAAGTTGCATACAACAAAAACGATAGTTTCTTTTAAATGGTTTTGTATTAAGACCTGTTTCAAACGTCGTGCTACTGCTAAGCTGGTTGGACTGTAGCTCGACTGCAGCACGTCGCTAGCACGACTTGGTTTCACACATCGAATTTTATTCAGTCGTATAGAACGGCTGTTGCCGAAAACGAAACAAAAAAATAAAGAAACGGCTTAGTACACTTTAAAATGTATTCTAACGTATTTGTAATATATGAATTGAAATGACGTTTGACGACGTTTGAAACCAAGTCGAGCTACTGCCGTGTAGCACGGCAAGGCTTACCGTGCTACATTGCAGTAGCACGAGTTGGTTTCAAACGTCGCGCTACTGCCGTAGTAAAGTCGAATTGAATTCGATCAACTGAGTTCGGTACGGCAGTAGCACGACGGTT